GACCTGACAACGAATGACTGAAGACACACAGACTAAATAGACACAGGAGGATAATCAGGAAAGTGGCAACACATGGGGAACCAGCTGACACACATGAACATAACGACGTAACAGGACGGAGGGCCCGAAACAAAGCCACAAAACCAAAATGTTCAACAAAATCACAGGAGCGCAGGGAAACAGTTCATGACCCCTCAGGTGGCCGACCCGGAGGGTGACGGTCCAAAAATCCATAGTTCATGTGATCAGGGGGCCGGCCAGGAGGCCGACGGCACAGAAGTCCAAGGCCGAACAGTTCCGGGGGTCGTCCGTGCGGACGGCAACGGCGGCGACATGGAAACCGTTCAGGGGGCCGACCGTGCGGACGGCAACGGCGTAGAAACCGTTCAGGGGGCCGACCGTGCGGACGGCAACGGCGTAGAAACCGTTCAGGGGGCCGACCTCGACGGCGGTGACGTCCAGCAGATGGCTGAAGATTCCCAGGTGCAGAGCGAGGCTTGGGCGGCGGCGTAACAGCCGTAGGACCAGGCGACGCCGAAGCAGAGGCTGGACCAGGCGTAGCAGAGGCAGGACCCGGCGAGGCAGAAGCAGAAGCAGAGGAAGACTCGGATGAGACCGAACCAGGCGAGACAGAAGCTAAGGCTGAAGCAGGAGCCGGACCAGGCGAAGATGAGGCTGAAGCCGAAGCCGGACCAGGCGTAGATGAAGACTCTGACGAAGGCGGACCAAGCGTAGATGAAGACTCTGACGAAGGCGGACCAAGCGTAGATGAAGACTCTGACGAAGGCGGACCAAGCGTAGATGAGGCCGAAGCTGAAGCTGGACCAGGCGAAGCACAGGCTGAAGCTGGACCAGGCGAAGCACAGGCTGAAGCTGGACCAGGCGAAACAGAAGCAGAACCAGGTGACAATGAGGCAGCCACAGCTGGTGGCTGGACGGGCTCCTCGGGCCCCCCAGCTGACGTGGCAGGAGGCTGTGTAAGTTGCAGCAACACACAGTCTATAGTGGGTGAAATGAGTTTGTATGAGTTCTCAGACTGAGGTGTGGCAGAACTAGGCGAGGTGTCGTCCTCAGGCTTAGTCGCAAAAGCAGCAGGCAGTAGCGCAGCAGGTGGTGGTCCTGCAGGTGGCGATACGGCAGCCGCAAGTGATGAAGCAGAAGGTGGCCGGACGGGCTCCTCGGGCCCTCCAGCAGACGTGGCATGAGGCTGGTGCGGTTCTCCTGAACCTCCAGCAGACGAAACATGAGGCTGGCTGGGTTCTCCTGAACCTCCAGCAGACGAAACATGAAGCTGGCTGGGTTCTCCTGAACCTCCAGCAGACGAAACATGAAGCTGGCTGGGTTCTCCTGAACCTCCAGCAGACGAAACATGAAGCTGGCTGGGTTCTCCTGAACCTCCAGCAAACGAAGCATGACCAGCAGGTGTAGAGACCACCGGCTGGACAGAAGGCTGAGCAGGTGAAGGAACTAATGACTGAGCTGAACAATGGGGAGCTGGCTGAGCTGCACAGTGGGCTAAGGGCTGAGCTAACGGAAACGCAGGAAAATGACCTATGGACTGGGCTGCTATCAGAGCTAATGACTGAGCTATAGACCGAAAAGCATGCAGTAGTGGTGGTGGTGTTGGTTGCAGACTGAATTCTCCTGAGCCTTTAGTAGAGACAGGGACGGGTGCAGGAGCATGCCGGACACTAGTCACTCCCACCCGAGGAGTAGGTACGGGTGCGGAGACGGGCTGTATCCTGGCTGCCCTCACCTTGGGGACTGGAACAGGTACCGGCAACGGCTGGGCAACTGCCCTTCCCACCCGAGGAGCTGATACGGGTGCAGAAAGGGTCAGAGCCTCAGCCGGCCTGGAAACCAGAGCGGGAGCCAACTGGGCCTCAGTCTCCCCCACCCGAGGAACAGACACGGGTGCAGAGGCACGCTGGGCCCGAGCTGCCCCGGAAGGAGAAACACGAGCAGGAACGGGAGCAGGCTCAGATAAAACAGTCGCAGAAGCGGCAGGCTCAGGGTCAACATATATAGGGTCGACAAAAACGGATCTATCAAAAATGAACCCGCCGTCCACTTCATGTGTAGCAGTCTTAGCAATAGCAGTCTTAGTTTTAACAGTCTTTTCTTTAACCGTATGTGCAGGCTTAGACGAGCGGGAATTGTCTTTCATCCCTCCCTGTGTAGAGGGAGTAAAACAAAATGGATCCTCCCAGTCCACGTCGTCATCCATAAGGGAAACTCCCCATGGATCGGAAGTAAGCTGATTGTTGTTAGCATCCGACGGGACGTGAGGGTAATAGTCATTGTGACTCACCACCGTGAGCTCGGCATTGTCCGGTTTATGGCGACGGGCGCGCCGCTTCCTTCGAGCGGAGGAAGCCGGCGGAGCGAGCGACTGAGCCCCCGGTACACAACACGGTGACAACGAGGCTGGAGCGTGAGCGCCTGTAGCCACGCGAAAAACTCCCACTTGTAGCGGACGAGGCTTGGAAACAGGCGGGGACTTACGGCAGCTCTTGGGACCTCCGAGAGCCAGCCGAGTCCCGTGGAAAATCCGCTCGTAGTCGGGGGCGCGCCACGGCTTCCAGCGGAGCTCCTCCTCCAGCTGGGCGAAGGCTGCCTCCCGACGCTCGTAAAGCTCGCGGTCTGCTGAGTCCATAGTGGTCAGGTCGTACTGTCACGGTCTGGCTAGGGCAGACCGTATATTGCAGGGAAGGACTCAAGCGCAGACCGAAATGGGATGTGAATAACAAAACAAGCCGTTTAATAAGGCAAGAAACAAGGGTACAAAATAATGGGGCATGGGTGAAAACTAAACAATAACCTAAACTGGGTGAACTAATAACAAAACATGAAAAACCTTAACCATAGCGAACTAACATGGGTACCTGGGGATGAGACATGGATGAGCAGTACAATGGGTGAAATACAACAGACGACCTGACAACGAATGACTGAAGACACACAGACTAAATAGACACAGGAGGATAATCAGGAAAGTGGCAACACATGGGGAACCAGCTGACACACATGAACATAACGACGTAACACTGGAAGAGTAAAACTGAACACGATGAACACAGACACACCAGACCTCTTCACAATAAGACAGGAAACACAGTGAGATATAAACATAACAACCTGAACTGACAACAAACGCCACAGACATAAAGTACATGAAAGCAGGGGAGACTTAACATAGTGGAAAACACGAGGGGAAAATAACTAGAAACACCTAGGCATGATAATGATAAACTTAGGAAACTTGAAGGCAACAAAGAACTAAACACAAAAACGCTGGGTCAGAGACCCAGGCTGTAACACGTTCATTGATGTTTCTTTCTTTCTTTTTTTTTTTGTGTCCCGTTTGGATCTTTAGCCATCAGAATTGTTGTCTTAAGGCCAAGAAAGATGCCAAGCGGATTTATTTTACCAAGTGGATCATCATGGCCTTGCCATATTGGTCCATTTGACCTTTATTATAATTATGAATTTATTTTATTTTCAGTTGCTACAAACGGGACAGACATGACTGGGGGATAGGACAGGGAGAAAGAATGAAAGAAAGAGAGGGAGAGAAAGAAAACCAAAGGGGAGAAGAGACGGTGAGAAGGGGGGGAAGAAAGAAAAAAAACAAACAAAACACCTGGGTCACCTGTATGGAGAAAAAAAACAGAAGAGAAAGCAAACAACAAAGAGCAACATAATAAAAAAACAGCACCATCACAATAAACTAGCTAGCAGTAGATATCAGTAGATACTAAATAATAAACGATATTGTGCAGCACGCAAGATAGACAGCGCACAATGTGCTTTGAGGCAGCAGCCAAGAAAGCTGTAGTCCGCGTCTGTGAATACCCGTGTGTACACCTGTGTGCATACCTGTGTGGATCAGCATGCTTGCATTCCAAAGGTTTCTCCATGTAACGATCTGCTAGGGAGTGTGGGGAGCCACAGCCCCGTCCTCCAGGGTATGAAGCAGGTATGGAGGAGATCAAAACTCCAGACATCCAGAGGCCCCCAGAACACAAGAGACCAAGGAAGACCAACAGAGGGGCAGCCGCGCCACTGTCCCAGAAAGAGCTGAGGAGAGTCCCAGATGAGGGCTCACTCAGCAGCCGCGGAGCAGAAGCCAGGGGGAGTTGCAGTGACGCGCCCGTGAGCTCCGCCGGCAGCCAGCCGTGCCTGAGTGACCGAGCCCCAGGCCGAGAGGCCGGGGGCACCCCACCTCCGAAGTGGCCCGAGCGAGCCCCAGGCTCCAGGCCCCGATAAGCGGCCGCCAAGGAGTGAGCCGGTGTGTACCCGGACGCCCACCCCCAGACACAAAGAACCACCAACGCACCGATGTCTGAGGGAGTCCGCCACTGGCAGGGGAAGTGGTGGTGGGTGGAGATAGGCCTCCAAACCTTGGAGGGCCTGAGATGTCCCCAGAGAGGTGGCGTCTGATACCCAACCTGACATATAGACACAGACATACAGGCACACACAGACACAAACATCCATTCCCACCCTCATGCTCTCATATGCACTCACTCCACACTCAACCAACGTGGAGACAGACATAAAGAGACGCTGTACACACAATCACACTCCCCAAGCGTACTCTACAAACCGGGTCTAGGTACCCTTGCCCCTGGAGGGGGGAACTGCACCCAGACCCAGGTGGTGTTACCCTTTTCCCTGCGGTGGGGAGAGGCAGACCACCCCGACTCCGCAGCAGCAGGGAGGCCCCACACTCCAGACCGCAGTCGGACGGCCAACTCCTCCTACTAGCCCCCCGCTCCAGCAGGCCGCAGAGAACGGGGGTGAGAGAAGACTCCAAACCTCCCTCCACCCGCTCATTGTAGTGTTGATGCATGTGTGTTCTAAGGTGCAATTATGTATTAATTATTCTTACAAAGTTAGTTCAGCCACATTAAAGCAGTTTAGAAGAGTTGTTTCATCATAAACATAATATATGTTTCATGTAGTTTTTTGTTGGCCCTTTTCTTTTTGTATTTTAGGAGTTTTTAAAAGACTGATCTGAATGTAAGCCAACAAATCATATCAACTCTGTGGCTAATGGCAAGGAGCCTAACAGCGTAAGAGGTGGGTTTTAATTAATTTCTATCTTTAAAGCCTTAACAAAAAATGTAGCGTCATGAAAATGTAATATTTGTTATGTATAAACTCTGATGTGTGAAATGACAGCTGCAAATTTAAGACACTACTATTATTACCTCTTGTCCTGATTCTTATTTGAGGTGAGACATACGACTGAAGGTCCATATGATTTTATTAAAACACTTATATGTGGTGAAGATGGGCTCCACAAAACATCAGCCTCGAACTCGCGTCGGCCGTAGCTTCAAACCATTAATTAACTTGGCCGAGCTTCAACTCTTTAATTAGCAATATGTGTATAACATGATTACAGTTGCACCTGCAATGAAAGATTATTATGTGCTTATGCTAACACCTGAAATACAGACTTTAATGTAACATCAACAGTTTCAATAAATGTGTCAATGAAATGATAATGATAAATCATAAATGATGCAACAGTAATAATAATGATTATGAATAATAACAGTGAAATAATATTTCATCCCAACACTCTGTTTTTTGTATTTTAGGAGGGGTTATGGTTAAAGACCAGTTTGAATCCAAACCAATAAATCTCAGCACTTAGGTCTAAAGGCACGTGACTGAGAACAGGTAAGGAGGCTTTTTAGATGATCATCTCTCAAGTTTTATTTCAAAAGTAAAAGATTTATTAATACAATGTTTGTAATGGTTATTGTATAAAAATAAGACTTGTAAATGTGAAGAAAAACAATCAGTGGCCACCGGCTTGGTTTACATTCTGTGTATTTTAATTTTTGAATACATTTTTCATCTGCAGATCAGGAGCTGAAAGAACATCTTTACAACACAAGACCCTGACTGCGCAGAAGCCACTATATTTGTTCCTGACAGAAGAAAAATTTAAATCTTTGTAGTAAATTTAATAACTGACGTACAACAAAAAAGAAAATGTTTAATGTGTTCAAACGAGAAGAGCCCAAAAAGCTTTCAGATACTATAAAAAAAAATTGCGAACAATCAAAAACACATACAGGGCCTCTCCCTGTTTATATAATTCCACTAAAAAATGATAATTTCAATGTCGATGGATGCAAGAGTTTTAGTTTTGGAGAAGAGTCCAGTAAACCTAATCGCACCATAATGGTTCTTGGAGCAACCGGTGCTGGGAAGACAACTCTCATCAACGGGATGATCAATTACATTTTAGGTGTTAAATTGGAGGATCCATATCGATTTAAGTTAGTTGATGAGGGTGAGTTAACTTCACAAGCTCACAGTCAG